CAAGGTAGGAAGATCCTGAATTCACCTCCTCCCATGGATACACTGAGTCTACAGCCACATATGGAACAATTTCCTCTTAAAAAAATCCAAAGGCTGTCTGAGTGATGACTACACATGGGTAAACAAGAGGAAAACCACATTGACATGGGTAGGAAAGAATAGGACACAATCTCGCCGTAAACTCCACCCCTGGTGCAGCATCCCATAACAGGGAGGGAACTCAAAACCTGGCGCTTCTCCCTGAGGAATGAAGGGTTTAAATCCTACATTGGGTATCCCAACCTTTAAGACATACGCTTGAGACAAGCCTCCAAAACATCTAACATTGAAACCCAACAGGGCTTGTGTCCTAAGACCCACAAGACTGTAATGTAGCAGTCTGAGAAACCCCTCTTAAAAAGCCTACCTGCTGGGACTTCCCTACCCAAGAGGCAGCCAATTGTGTCTGGACTTAAAGTGAAGGAGGCTCATCTGCTTATATTAAAGCACTGGTGTGAGGGGCATACATCTAACATAACACACACATCTAGGAGCCAGCTGGAACACTTTGTCTTTGTCCATACAAAGACTAGCAGGTACTATCTTCATGCTCTCCCTTTGCCAGTCTCCAGGGCACCAGTATTCCACAGAATGGAACTTTTATGGGTGTCTGGTGGCCTGATTCTTATAGCTGTTGTCTAGAGGATGCTTCTGGACTGCCTGGCTCTGGAGGTCAGGTGAGTTTGTGTTTCTGGTCCCCTGGGATTGTAATGATAAGTATCACCCAGAAAAAAAGCTTATCCTCCTGTCTGGCAGCCTCAATTTTGTGACTACTATCAGGGGACACCCCTAAATCATCTGGTTCTGGCAGCCACTGAGGCTTATGCACATGGATCCCACAGAACTGTAACCAACGGAGAAAGAGTTCTTAAAAACCAACCACTCCCAGAGCAAAGCAATAGGTAACAGACCCCAAGAGAGCTTGGCCTTTCTGTGAAGGAGGCCTATTAGCTAACTAGGGCTTCCAAAAATCTCAGAGAGACGGTGCTATCTTTCCACTCACCCTCTACCAAGCTCCAGAGTGCCAGGATCTCCTGGAAGGGAGTTGTATACACATCCAGTGCCCTAGTTTTTGTCTGGTGTCCCAGGTTATACGGCTGCTGCCCAGAAGATGTTCCTAGATCACCTGGCTTTGGTGGCCGGGAGCCTGCATTCCTGAATCCCATAGGACTGTGGCAGAGAAACAGTTTCTGGCAGGCTTCTACTCCCAGTGCACTGTACAGAGAGTGGTCTGAGGCACACTTCCTAGTCTTTCTGTGAAGAAGGCCACTTTGCTTGTCCTGGAACATTGGCCTGAGGGGCAGACTTCAGGTTTGGCACATATTAAGTGGCCTAGGGACTTGCTCTGAAGGAACAGAGGCTATGGATACCATCTTGGTGCTTTCTCTCTGCTTTGCTCCAGCTCACCAGTTTCACACAAGAGACCCTTGTCTAGAGCCCTAATGTCTGTAACTGCTTCCAAGGGGACACCTCCAGATCTGCTTGTGCTTGCAGGCCCACAGGACTGTATATATTTGCATATTTTTAAAAAGGGATGCCTGAGGGTCTGGCTTCTAGTCAGCCTGAATTTAGGTGCTGAGACTCTCCCCTTTGGGACACTGTTAGGTCTTGGTATATTCTCAACTACTGGGAGCTATTAAAAATATAATAGGCTTCTTGAACAGGCACAAATTTGAGAGATGACAAAGAGCTGAGGCAGGGTTGAATGACAAAGTTCATCTACATGAGACCACTCCTTTATGGCTGAGAGAGGAGGTTGTATCATCTACTGTATGGAAACAGAAACTCAAGGTAAGTGAAAAAACAGAAGGATATGTATCAAATGAAAGAACAAGATAAAATCCCCCAAGGAAAAAGAACCTTAATGAAATGGAGATATGTAATTTACCTGATAAAGAGTTCAAAGTAATGGACAGAAAGAGCTTTACTAAATTAGGGAGAAAAAATGGATGAATACAGAAAGAACTTCAACAGAGAGATGGAAAATATAAGAAAGTACCACACAAAAGCCACAGAACTGAAAAATACAATAACAAAATTAAAAATACACTATAGGAGTTCTGGGGCACCTGGGTGGCTCAGTTGGTTGACTTCGGCTTGGGTCATGATATCAGGGTCCTGGGATTGAGCCCCATGCTGGGCTCCCCAGTTGGCAGGTAGTCCACCTGTCCCTCTCCCTCTCTCTCTGGCCCTCCCCTGTTCATGCTCTCTCTCTCTTTCCCTCCCTCCCTCTCAAATAAATAAAACCTTAAAAAAATACACTATAGGGGTTCAATAGCAGACTAGATGAAGCAAAAAAAAAAAAGGATCACTCAACTCAAAGACGAGGTGGTAGAGTTCTCCAAATCAGAGCATCAGAAACCAACAAAAAAGAAAAAAGTGCAGACAGCTTAAGGGATGTAGAAAACAGTATCAAATGGACATTTGCATCATAGGGCTCCTAGAAAAAGAAACGAGAGAGAAAGGGATAGAAATCTTATTTGAAGAAATAATTGCTGGAAAAAAATTGCTGGAAATCTGGGGAAATAAACAGATCCAGATCCAGGAAGCCCGGAGAGCTCCAAGTAAGAGGAACACTAATGAGACCCACACCAAGACAATTAAAATGTCAAAAGTTAAAGACAAGGAGAAAATATTAAAAACAGCAAGAGAAAAACAACTTGTTATATACAAGGAAACCCCCCATTAGACTCTCAGTAGATTTTTTAGTGGAAACTTTACGAGCTAGAAGGGAGTGGTACTGTATATTCAAAGTACTAAAAAAACAAAATAAACCCCACATACACAAATAAACCCACAAAAACCACTACTAAACTGGCTTTACAAGTAACAAGAACACATATTAAAGAAAAATTATCACTGGAAAGGTAACCATATAGTAAAGTTAGTGGATCAATCACTTATAAAGCTAGTGTAAAGACTGAAAGACAAATAGTAAAAATAACTATGATTACAACAATAAGGGATACACAAAATAAAAAGATGTAAACTGTGACATCAAAAAATATAAAATAAAAAGGAAACCATAAAATGTGTGGATGGAAGAGTAATGATTTTGAGCTTTACAATGGAATGAAACTTAAGTTGTAACAAACTTAAAATAGACTTTTATAGATGTAAGTTGTTATATGTAAATTCATGGTAACCATAAAGGAAAAAACACAAAAGATAAAAGAATATAAGCATTCCACTAAAGAAACCACAAAGGGGGGTGCCTGGGTGGCTCAGTGGGTTGAGCCTCTGCCTTCGGCTCAGGTCATGGTCTCAGGGTCCTGGGATCGAGCCCCGCATCGGGCTCTCTGCTCATCAGGGAGCCGGCTTCCCCCTCTCTCTCTGCCTGCCTCTCTGCCTACTTGTGATCTCTCTCTGTCAAATAAATAAAAAAAATCTTAAAAAAAAATAAGAAAGAAAGAAACCACAAAGGAAGAGATCAAGAGAAGAAAGGAGAAGACCTACTAAAACAGCCCCAAAACAATAAACAAAATGGCAATAAGCACAACCTATCAATAATTATTTCAAATGTTAATGCATAAATTCTCCAATCCAAAGACACACAGTGGATGAATGGATAAAAAAATATGACCCATCTATATGCTGTCTAAAAAGGACTCACTTTCAATATATGGACACATACAGACTCAAAGTGAAGGACGAAAAAAGATATTCCATACAAATGGAAACCAAAAGAAAGCTAGAGTAGTTTTATCAGACAAAATAGACTTTAAAACAAACACTGCATTAAGAGACAAAGAAGGTACATAATGATAAAAGGATCAGTCCAGCAAGATGCTATAACATTTGTTAATATTTATGCACCCAACATAGGAGATCTAAATATACAAAGCAAACACTAACAGACCTAAAGGATGAAATTGATAGCAATACAATAATAGTAGGAGACTTACATCAATGGATCAATCATCCAGACAAAAAAATCAACAAAGACACATCAGTCTTAAATGACACAGTAGACCAGATGGGCTTACCAAATACATACAGAACATTCCATTCAAAAGCAAAGGAATACACATTTTTCTGAAGTGCACATGGGACATTTTCTAAGAGAGATCATATGATAGGCCACAAAACAAGACTTAATAAATTTAAGAGGACTGAAATTTTATCAAGCATCTTTTCTGATCACAGTGCTATGAAACTAGAAATTAAATATACAAGGAAAACTGGGAAATTCATAAATTTGTGGAGATTAAACTACATGCTCCTGAAAAACCAATGGGTCGAAGAAGAAATCAAGAGAAATAAAAAAATACCTTGAGACAAAAGAAATTGGAAATGTAACAAAGCCCATGCTTTATTTATTACATTCATGAAAATTATGCATTATTTACAGTGAATGTAATTGGACAAGAATTCTTGATGTTAAGAGTTTTAGCTTTCTTGAAGAAGTAATTTGTCTGGAATGAGTAATATATAGTTAAGAAATTAATATGTTACAAAATGGATAAGATGCAGGCTATGGAATCAGAGAGATTTGTGTTTAAATCCCATCTCTCCTAATTGCTAGGTGTGTGACCCTAAACAAATCAGCTCACCTGTCTGAGCTTTAGTTTCCTCATCTGTCAAATAGGTAAAAAGATCTTAATCTCATAAAATTGATATAAAGATCAAATTATGTAACACCAATAATGTTCCTGGCACATCAACGAATACTGGTTATTTTTCTCTATAAAAATGTTTCTTCAAGAAGCAGAAGAGTCCTAAAATAGGGGCAGACAAGGGTCTCTTATTTGTTAGAGAATAAAGACAGAAACAGAGTGGAAGGCATGTATTTGCACAAGTAGCCTCTGAAAACAGTCACAGCTTACTATAATATCTGGTGTAAAGTAGATAGATGATCAGTAACTTTTTGCTGAATGGAGGAATGCAGGAAAGAAGAACAGACCCATCCCAATAACAGTGTGCTGGGTAAGATTAAAATCAGATTTATAATATTTTCTTACCTTGACTGCATAGTTATTAAGTGGATCTTTTGCATATGAAGCTGTATAGTAAACTGCATCACCTGCCTCACAGCATGGCTTGTCGCTGGTTAGCCTGAAGTCTGACCAGCTGTCCACCCCAAAACGGAGCTGGTCTTTCTGTCCAGCCATGAAGAGGTCTTCACATTTTATAGCCAGTTTCTTCAAGGCATCTGTATGAAGGCTTCGGATTTTACCCACAACTTCTTCCCGATTCTCAAGTCCTCGATAAAGTGCTTGTCTCTGTGGCTTCTGCATGCTTCGTCCCTGTCTGCAAGAGGGACCACGCCGGCTAGACAGGGACTCCATGCTGTTGGAAAATCTATCCTTAATACTGAGAGTGGTTAAGCTGGAGATACTGTTTGCTGCTGAGGGGACAGGTCTCTCCTTGTGCAAAGGTCTTTCCAAGGAGTCATAAGACTCAATGTCCAGTCCCTTGAGTTCGTAACTGATGGAAGAGCCAGCACTACTGGCATCCCAGTTGGGGTCAATGTCATAGGTGGGATTAGCCATTACACAAAGACTCGTTTCCATGGATTTTTGGAGGTCTTTGGGGATTGGCTCTGTATTGGCTCTTATGATCATTTTCTTTGGCAGTGGGGGTGGCATAGGTTGGGAAGCGCTAGGTGCTTCTTGGTCTGTTTTCTCACTGAAGACAATGCCATCATCCAAAGTTCCCTTAGGCTGCCGTGGATGCTTGGGTGGTATCATGGCTGCTCTAGATTGCCCTGTATTGTTTTAAAAGAAAGAAAGAAAAACAATAGTTAAGTTTTTATTCTTGTTACATAATTGAAACTCAAGGATAAACAAGTGATATAGTCATGAGAGTATAAGAAGTCAATGCCTTAATTAAAAATGGTTGAAGAAAATCAACCAAAGACTTGGTTGGTGGGAGCAAAAAAAAAAAAAAAAAATGTGAACAATGTCTCATCATTTCCATGCCAGAGAAGAGGGTAATGGGCTTTGTTTAAAAAAAAAAAAAAAAAAAAAAGAATTGAGATTCTCTACTCCTGCCTCCAAGGGTGCTGAATATGAAAGAGTGACAAACACTCAAATAATTTCATTGTGGCAGAGTAGAGATGAAAGCATTTGTGGATTAAGAAAAATACTTGGAAGCATTTTAAGAAACAATTGAAACTAGCAATGGGACCACTAGACTGATGCTCAGAAGATACCATTCTGCTTTTTGAACTTTGTTCCAAAGTTGCACTGTATTGTATTTAGCACCTGTCATTTTCAATCCAACACATATGAATATGATTTCATAAACCATGTTATTTTATTTCACCACAGAGATGGATTCTAGCATTGGTCTTAAACTGGTTTATGTATAAATTCTTGCGATTGGGATAAGGAGAACAATATATATGAACAGTCAACAGCTGTTCCAAACATCCTTCACAAACTCTTACCATTCTGTTTTATTTTGGGGGGTATATAAACTGTGATTTGAGCAATACTACTTTTGAACATCTCTTACAAGCCCTAGTTATAGGACTAATTACTCTGCTTCCTTTCTAGCACTTGCACTTATAAGAAAATAAAATGCAGATGTGTGAAAATGAACACACAACAATCCAAAATCCTTGGGATGCAGCAAAAGCAGTTCTAAGAGGGAAATATAGAGAATAAATGTCTACCTCAAGAAACAAGAAATAGCTTGAATTAAAAAAAAAAAACAACAACAACAACCTAGCCTGACACCTAAAGGGACTAGAAAAAGAAGAACAAACAAAACCCAAGGGGTAGAAGGAAGGAAATAATAAAGATCAGAGCAGAAATAAATGGCATAGAGACTAAAAAACAAAGGAAAAAAAATGAGACCAAGAGGTGGTTCTTTGAAAAGATAAAGAAAACTGATAAACCCTCAGCTAGACTCATTATGGAAAAAAAAAAAAGAACACAAATAAAATCAGAAACAAAAGAGAAGTAACACTGTCACGACAGAAATACAAAGGAATATAAGAGAATACTACAAAAAGTTATATGCCAACAAATTAAACAGCCTAGAAGAAATGAATAAATTCCTAGAAACATATGATTTTTCAAAACTGAATCAGGAAGAAATAAAAATCTGAACAGATCAACTACAAAAAATGAAATTGAATAGGTAATAAAAAAAAAAATCCCAACAAACAAAGTCCAGGATTAGATGGGTTCACGGGTGAATTCTATCAAACATTTAAAGAAGCGATAATACCTATTCTTCTCAAACTAGTCTAAAAAATAGAAAAAGCAGGAAAGCTTCCAAATACATGATAATACAAATAAACACGAGGCCAGTATCACCCTGATACCAACAGCAGACAAGGACACCATGAAAAAAAAAGAGAACTACAGGCCAATATCCCTGATAAACATAGATGCAAAAATCCCCAACAAAATATTAGCAAACTGAATTGAACAATAAAAGATTATTCACCATGATCAAGTGAGACTTATGCTGGGGATACAAGGATGGTTCACTATTCACAAATCAATCACAAACACCACATCAACAAAACAAAGGATAAAAATCATATGCTTTATGTTAATAGATGCAGAAAAAGCATCTACCAAAACTCAACATTCATTCATGATAAAAACACTTGTCAAAGTTGGGTTAGAGGAAACATACTTCAACATAATAAAGGCCATATATAAAAAAGCTGTAGGTAACAACATTCACAGTGGTGAAAAATTAAGAGCCTTTCCTCTAAGATCAGGGACAAGATAAGGATGTCCACTCTCACCGCCTTTACTCAACATAGTAATGGAAATCCTAGCCACAGTAATCAGACAAGAAAAAGAAATGAGTCATCCATATTAGTAAAAAGTTAAATTGTCACCATTTGCAGACAACATGATACCATACATAGAAAACCTTAAAGACTTCACTAAAATACAACTACAAGTAATAAATGAATTCAGGAAAGTTGCATGATACAAAATTAATACCCAGAATCTGGTAGTGCTTCTGTATACTAGTAATAAGGTAGCAGAAAAGGAAATTAAGAAAATAGTCCCATTTATAATTGAACAAAAAACTTAGGAATAAAGTTAACCAAAAAGGTGAAAGACTTGTATTCTGAAAACTACAGACACTGATGAAAGAAAATGGAAAGATATTCCACGCTCATGGACTGAAAGAATTGATATTGTTAAAATGTCTATATTACCCAAAAGGATCTACAGATTCAATACAATCCCTATTAAAATATCAACACTATTTTTCACAGAACTAGAATAAATAATACCAAAATTTGTATGGAACCACAGAAAACACCAAATAGCTAAAGAAATCTTGAGAAAGAAAAACAAAGTTGGAGGTACCACAATTTCAGGTTTCAAATTATACTGAAAAGCTGTGGTAATCAAAACAGTATAGTATTGACACAAAAAGAGACACACAGATCAGCAGAACAGAATAGAGAACCCAGAAACAAACCCACAATTATATGATTAATTAATCTATGACATAAGAGGCAAAAATATACAATGGGGAAAAGATAGTCTCTTCAGTAAATGGTGCTGGGAAAACTGGACAGCTGTCTGTAAAAGAATGAAACTGAACCACCTTTTAACACCATACATAAAAATAAACTCAAAATGAATTAAAGACCTAGATGTGAGACCTGAAACCACAGAAATCCTAGAAGAGAAAACAGGCAGTAATTTCTTTGACATCAGCTATAGTAATTTTTTTCTAGATACGTCTCCTAAGGCAACAAAAGCAAAAACAATATACTGGGACTACATCAAAATTAAAAAAAAAAAAATCTTTTGCACAGCAAAGGAAACCATCAACTGAACAAAAAGGCCACCTACCAAATGGGAGAAGATATTTGCAAACGATATATCTTCTAAGGGATTAATATCCAAAATATATAAAGAACTTATCCAACTCAACAACAAAAAAAAAACCAAACAATTTAACTAAAAAATGGGCAGAGTACCTGAATAGATAAAGAAAACATACAGATAGCCAACAGACACGTGAAAAGATGCTCAACATCACTAATCATCAAGGCAATGCAAATCAAAACCCCAATGAGGTATTACCTTACACCTGTTAGAATGGATAAAACAAAAAAGACAAGAAATGACAAAGTGTTCCTGAGGATGTAGGCAAAATGGAACCCTCATGCACTGTTGGTGGGAATGTAAATTGGTATAGCCACTGTGGGAACCAGAATGGAGGCTCCTCAAAAAAATTAAAAATAGAAATACCATATGATCTAATAATTCCACTTGGGTATTTAACCGAAGAAAACTAAACATAAAAAAGGATAAGGTTTTGCCATTTGAGATAGCAGGAATGGACACAAAAGGTATTAGGCTAAGTGAAATAAGACTGAAAAAGACAAATAACATATAATTTCATTCATTAGTGGAATCTATTCCTCCCCGAACAAACAAAAAACCCAAATGAATAAGCAAACAAAAGGCAGAATGAGACCTATACATATAGAGAACAAATGGATGGATGCCAGTGGGGAGAGAGGTAGGGGTCTCGGCAAAGTGGGTGAAGGGGAGTGGGAGATAAGTGGGAATAAGTCGAGGAACAAAGGCATGGCAAAACGAATATAACCAATGCTCTTAAAACAGTGATGTATGGTGACAGATGGTAGTTACACGTGTGGTAATGTATAAACAAATACACCTGTGAAAAATGACATCTTTTCAGCTTATTGTAGAATGGGGAGAGACATTAGTTTTTTAAAGGCAGAGAAATATGCGATGGAACTTTTATAAAAGTTATATATTAGTAAAGTTATTAAAATGAGGCCTACTGAGAAAGAGTATAATGCTCTGTTATGGGATGAATTATGTCCTCTCTCCCAAAACGTTGAAGTCACAACCCCTGGTGCCTGTGAATATAACCTTATTTAGAAATAGAGTCTTTGCAGAGGTAATCAAGTTAAGATGAGGTCATTAGGGTGTATCTTAATCTAGTATGACTGGTGTTCTTATAAAAAGAGGAAATGTCATATAAAAAGAGACAAAAGGGAAAACACCATGTGGTGAAGAGGCAGAGAATGCAATAATGCAGCTGCAAGCCAAGGATGTCAGGGATTGAGGGCCACCCCCAGATGCTAGCGAGAGGTGAGGAAGGATTCAATCCAGAGCCTCAGAGAAAGCATGGCCTTATTAACACCTTGATTTCAGACTCCTACCTCCAAAACTGTTGAGGGAATAAATTTCTCTTGTTTTAAGGCACCCAGGTTATGGTACTTCATTACAGTAGCCCTAGGAAACTAATGCATGGGCCGACTGATGGTCAGGTAGAATAGAAGGCACCAGATGGTTCCGAGGCTGATATTAAATAAAGATGGTGGTTTATTAAAATCATGTAGCAATGCCTAGGATGGGCACCAATATAAACTATGATTGCACTAACAACATATTCCATTTCCTATTCATGCCACTCTCTCCAAGAACACCTAGAAATGAGGAGAGAACTATGACAATACATACAGCAAACCTAAGGACCACCTTTCTCCACCAATGGCATTTGGTAAATAAATACTTTTTACAAGGAAGAGAGCTATAATACATATAAACAAAAAAATGTGTGTGTGTGTGTGTAGCATAAGAATTAGAGAGACAAAGAATATGAGAATGCTAAGAGGGCCAGGACTTTGCTTGATACATCATTGTGTCCTCTATGTCAAGACAGGGCCTGGATATAAAAGATGCTCAATCAGTGTTTCTTAGGGTGCCCGGGTGGCTCAGTCAGTTAAGCATC